TCTCCCCTCCCTCTCCCCTCCCTCTCCCCTCCTCCCTCCCTCTCTCTCTTCCTTGTTACCTTTTCAACTTCCAAGATGCAGAAACGTAATTTTAAATAGATCATACAAGTTATGCAACACTACTTTTCAGCCACTTCCAGAGTACGCCACATCCTTAAAATCAAGTATTAATGAATTTTGTAATGAACTATGCTACCACTTACAAGCCTCTACTGGCTGGAAACAAATTTGCTCTGTGCAAGATGTGCAGTCTTGATAGACACCCTGAAAATCAAGAACTAAATCTAATCCAGCAGAGTGGGGAGCGAAGCAAGTCCCTCAGGTGCAGAAATAATCTTAGTTTGATCACAGGAGGACAGCAGAGCATTCTGAGGCTCCTAAAATGGTCCCAGTCTGAGAAAGGCTGTTATACTTTAGCCCGATCTAGAAGAAAAGCTGCTTCTCTTCTGAGTTCAGAGCTAGGTTCCCATGTTCTGGCCCCAAAATTATGGGCCAAATATATCAGGCAGACACCCAGGGAGTCAAGATGTACTGTGTTTTTGCATCCATAGATAAAAACGGAATGACTTTCTGGAATTAAGCTTTAGGAGAGCTTGTGAGGGTCACGAGTTGTGTGATGATGCCTCAGCGTCAGAGCAGGTTCCTTACGGTATAAGTTAAAGAATATGCAGGCTTTAACTGTAGCATTTGGTATTTGAGGGTTTTCTCCCTCTGTGCTACAGAGAAAGCAGCACCTTGAAGGAACTATCTTGTACAGGATTGATTTTATTTTTTTTGGATGGCTTTTAAAGTGCTTTTGTCATCTTAACAGAAGTTCTTAGTGACTCATACTGTAAAAGCAGCAATCTGTTAATGAGGCATTTACCTTCAAATGCTGGAAATGCCATCTTGAGTGGTTTTAAGTTGTTCAAGTACAGCACAGTTATATTATCACAATTATCTGTATTTAAATTCCCACTCTGACTTTTTGAAACTCTGTTTTAGCATTCAACAGCCCCTAAATGCATGAAGCTGATTTGAAGGCTGTAGTTCCAGGCACTCGTGCTTGAAAAAGGTGGTTCTGAGAGTTGATTCATTATTCTAATTAACCTATAGGGCTGGAATTCTGCCTTTCATCGTTAAGTTGGGGGCTTTTAGCAGAGATGACGTTTGCTTCCAAGTTCTGTAAATGCTCAAACTCTCCAAATACATTCCTGTGCCTCTCTGATCAAGATCAGCCATTTGTACTGCAGATAATAGAAATCTGGCCTGCAAGGTAAAAGCAAAGAAGAAGTAATGCTTATATAATTTTACTGTGCCTCCAGCATAAAACTGCCAAAAAAGCACATCGGACAGATGCAGTTGATACTCACAGACTAGCAAAGCAAGAAAGGCCACCATACTGAGTCACAGCATGCCTTCAAAATAGAGGCCGATGTGATGTTGGACTGAGCGGTTGGCTTAATTAAAGACGAGTGCAAATAACAAGAAAACACCGTAAAACCATCAGAACAGCTGCATAAGAGTGCCCTAAATCTTCAGAATTTTCTGAATTCTGTCGACAATGGTGCTTCTCCCTGGCTCGCACCATCCTGTTGCTCTCTTGAGGGCATCCTTGTGTGAGAACATTTTGTTGGTTATTCATTTTGTTTGCCAGGTGATGATCCTGTGGCTGGTACCCAGGAGTGGTGCTTTGCCCGTTCCTAGCCCTATTAGCCCATCGTTCACTTCGCTGTTCGTTCAGGAGAGGAATATTAACATGCTGTCCCCCATTTCGTGCATTAAATGAAGATTGCATTGCAAATGCAGAGGTCTCTTTTTTTTTTTTTTTTTTTTTTTTTTTTTGCACACTGCAGTGATCTCCGCTTTTGAACTCCTTTTCCTATATTGCATTCTTTCAGCCAGCTGCCTGGCTAGTACCTGTGAGGCTTTTGCAGATGATGCGCTCTATGACGTGTGCTGGATGTTTGGTTTTTTAATAGCCAGATCAGGCGCTGTACTGGCAACCCTGTCCTTTTCCACACATGGCGAGGCTGTTGCTTCTTTGGAAAAGCATCTTGCAACAGCCTGTGTGCCACGGTGCTGTCAGAAACATGCCTCATAATAAAGATTTTTGTGCTGTGTGCAAGTCAGCCCTGACAATAGCAGAATGTTTGTGTGCTCTGCTCATACAGCAGCCAAGTCCTTGAAACCGAAGTGTCCAAAGCTGATGCTTCCATCTCTCCATTTGTCCTTGTGGTGTGGTATCTGTGTTTCCTACTTCTTAGCCAGAAAAGCTAATTAACTTACTTTAAATGAGTGCGGATATTTTTATATTTCCCTCCCCCCTCAGTATTTCACTTCTTATCTCCCATGCAGATAGAGGTCTGTGAAACTGCCTTAGTTTGCTTCTAAGCGTGGTAAATGCAAGGAAATGCCTTGTTTCTCTCTTAGTCCTTGTATCTTGATAGCCATTACTACTCTGCAGTATGTGTTTAAAATCTGTAATTTGATTAATAGTGACTTCCTGGTTAAAGTTCTTAGGGTTTAGGTGTTAGTTGTTTTGGTTTTTTTTTCATTATTACTTACAATGGTTGACTCGGAATCAAAGCATTAAATGAGCACATAATGGGGAATTCTCCTTAAAGATTCCATGTAAAAAATACGCCTGAGGGATGAACTCTCCTGTCAGAGAGAGATAAATTGGAGGAACTCTGCTGAAGTGAATGGAAGTAGCTCACATTAAAATCACCATATTGAAAGAAAAAAGAAATCTTGTAATGGATGTTGCTATCAAATTCTTAACTTTTTTGTTTCTTTTGCTTTCTGACACACAGAAATGTTTTGCTGCTTATTCCAGCTTTACAATTTCTACAATACAGGCTTCATTGTAAGGAATGAGTCCAGAGAAGTGTCTTTGTTGGGGCCTTGCTTAAGTAAGGGCTGCAGGTGGCTTTTAAGTAACCATCAAATTAGAAAGGTAAATGATCATGGCCAGCCTGTTAAAGAAAAAGCAGGCCGAAAGAAACAGCCAAAAGAGGTAGTGATGGAGCCTTGTTCTGCTGTAGATCTGTTACTGTATATTTGCCTCAGTGTTTCACAGAATTTCCAACCATTGAGGTTGGAAGGCAGCTCTGGAGGTCACACGCTGTCTAACCCCCCTGCTCAAGAAGGGCCACTTTGAGCTGGTTGCCCAGGACTCCGCCACCTCTCTGGGCGACCAAAGATTTTGAGCGATGGGAGCATCTGCAGATGCTCGGAGAAGCTTTTCATGGAGGAAGGTCTGGGTGCTGCAGGACACCTACTGAACCTGGTTCCCTATAGAAAACCCTGGTGGCATCTACCTGAAGATCATAATGGTACCTTGCTGGGCAGAATGGAGAAGAGAGGCTGTCTCAGCTGCTGAAAGGATTTGCACTTTCTTGCAATTTACCGTAATTTCTCTCAAGCATTCATAGCACCTGTCAAAAGCTTTGCAGGGAAGGAGGAGTTGGTGCTGTGTGTTCTCTTCTGAAGCATCTTGCCAGAAAGATTTCTGACTGAGCTACCTGGCAGCTTTGAGGAAATATTAAATGAGTTCATAAGTGGTTGCGGCTTTGTGAAGTTGCATTTTTAGGGCATGCTCCTACTCTGACAAGTGGAAATATTTTATATATAGTAAAAGAAGTGGAAATGGGATTAAAAAAATGAAAATAATACTATGAAATACGAAAACCATGTTGTTTAAAGGAGCTAGTAGTTGAAGTAGATGTTTTCCCAAATTACATTTTCAAGCTTTTTTTCTCTCTAATTTTTGATTGCTTTTCTTTTTTTCTTCCCCTCTGCATTTTAAAGCCCTGTTTATCTGATGACAATGCAATTGCAGAAATTTCGCTTGTGCTTTAGGATGTAAAACCAGGAAAATAACTTTCCTCAGTCAAAGCAGAGTATTGAGGGAATGAATCTTCATTTCTGGCTGCACAGGCACAGTGCTTCTTAACTGGAGCAAAAGCAGAATCCACCTAGCAATGGAGCTTTGTAGCCTTTTTGTTGGCAACGAAACGTCATGAATATCCCATTGGGATGGAAAATGATGCAGAGAAATCTGAGCTTTCCCAAAAGAAGGCTAGTAGGGCATCCTGAGAGCCTGCTGACCTTCTGTGTTGAGCCCTGTATTTCTTAGAGCTAACATATACTAGGGATGGTGGACAAAGTTTACTTTAGTTATCAAAATCTGTGAAAATCAGGCTGGTGCATTTTGTGGCTTTGTCACAAAAATGCAAATTGTGAGGGGGAGTCCTTCAGATTCGTGCAGAAGGAGAGGTAGGAGAGCTGCTCTCTCTCTCTCTCTCTCGGTATTTTATTTCTAACATTAGAAATGTTTCCTGTACGTGTGACAATGAATTAGAACGGACTGTAATTATCGCATGAATCTGTGCTGTATTTTGATTCAAAATCTATTGACTAAGTGCAAATCTGAATGCTAGAACATCAAGATGGTGGCTGATTTATGTTTAGCTTCCCAGCTTCATCTTGTTACAGAATGAAGTTTTAACGTTTGTAGAGCACTGCTACTCACAAAGTCACGGACTTCTGAAAATTCTGCCTTTTGGTTTCTTCACAATTGGTCCTCCGATGTCAGTGGAAGCTTCGTGTCTTGTTTATAGGTCCCTAGGCATGAACATCTAGCAGCACCGTTGTCAGCAGCTCCTCCAGCACAGAGACTAAGGTTTCCCATTCCCTGACAGAAGCCTCAGGGCGTGACACCGAGTAGTTCTGCTTTTGAAAACAAGTTTGTGCCATAGTAGCCCCTCAGGGTGGTAGCAGCTATGGATCCCAGCTCGGTTCTCACTGTCTTGCCATCGCTGGGGCTTAAAACATTGTGGGTTTGGGCCTGGGAAGGGCGAAGGCTGGAGGGATGATCTGTCAACAGCTACAGGGTGTTGGTGGTGACCAGCTCAGTGACATGAGATGCTGTTGCTCAAAATTTGCTTTTAGCACAAGGTGAGGTGACATGAGGTGCTGCTTTGTTTCCCTGAGGTGAGGATGCGGGAAGGTATCCTTCCAGCTTACGAAGGTGAAGGTTTTTAACGAGTGATGTTTGGCTTTTAAAAATGAATGCATGAATGTCTGGATGGGCTTAAATCGGTGAACTAATTGATACTCTGTGGTTGTTCCGGAGCATTTTCCTCGCTCAGTAGTGATGAGATAATGTTTTGTTTAAGCAAAGCACCATCGGTGCCTCCCATTACCGGTTCTGCTTATTAGGAGTGAGGAAACTCTTGGTTTTGTTTTTAGGTTTGCTATCAGTTTTTCCTGACTTTTAAAGGTGGATAGTCTTCATGAAGTCATGCTGGAGGTCACGGCTACCGAAGGAAGCAAATTAACTCTCAGGCTGTTAATTTGTTTTCCCCCTCGTCCTTCAGTCGCAGTGAGGAGAGCCTAAATATTTCAGTGACTCGAGACTTTGGATTCCCACTCCTTGCACACAACAACAACAAAAGCTATTTATAGCAATAACAGTTAGCAGCGATACTGCAGCCTCAGACAGGGGTAGGCAGCGTCTCACCATGACCACGCATGTTAACTGCTTTTGCACTGAATGCCTCTGTGAAAACAAAAGAGCACTGAGAAATGAATAATAAAAAAAAAAAATCGAAGCAAAACCGAAAGAAAGATTTTTTTATTGCTATGTTTTACTTTGCTGGCAGACCAGAGCAAAGGTTTTCTGAACATTTAAAAGATGAAAAAGGTGAAGAATCCCAGAAGCGATTTATCTTGAAGCGAGATAACTCTAGTATTGATAAAGAAGACAATCAGGTTGGTTCTCGGTTTGAGAGTTGCTGAAATTTGTTCTGTTTTTTGAAGGTGGGCTGACTGATGTTATTGTTGTTCTTTTGTTGTTGCTCTCCTCCTCCTCCCCTCCTCCTGCCCTGCTCCTTTGGCATCCGTACCACCGTGGGCAGCATCCAGCCCCCTGGCGTGGCCGCTTCAGCCGTGGCAGTGTGTGTGTGTGTGTGTGCGTGTGTGGGTTTGCATGGGCGGTTTGCTTGGCGCAGGACTTGCTGCATGCCCACGGGATGGGGAATGCTGGCGGCTCTGGGCTGTGCAGAACGCTCTGTCAGTCACATTTCTCGATGTCTTGCCTAACTTACTGGCGGTTGTTCCACTCCCCTGCAGCTTCCCGTTTTCCCTTGTTACCAATCCGGAGTTGGAATTTTGTTATCGGGCCCAGGATGGATTCATGTAGCCCAAAAAGGAGAGAGGAAAATAAATATTTTTTTAAGAAAAAAAGTGCCCTAAACAAACGTGATGAGGCTAGGTTGATACTGTTTTTTAAGTAAGCTTTGACCAAAAATATGAATTGGTTTCATCTTTTAGTTCCCTCCCTTCTCCTGTACTCTCGCCACCTTTTAGTGTCTGTGTAACTTACTTGCTTGTCGTGCATGTCCTGTGGCAGATGTTCCCCCTCTGTGTTGCCTGTGCCATAACACAACCTTATCTTAGGGGAGCTTGGTGAGTAGGGGAGTGCCAGGAAAATGTGTGTGTTTGTGCTGCCTTTTAAAAAGTGGGTGTTGTGCTGTTTCAATCCCGTGCAATCTGTGTATGTGGGATATATTAACATTAAAAAAAAAAAAAAAAAGGTTGTGACATGAATTGCTTTTATGAGAAGATTCTCCCAGGTAAGAAGACAGTGTGTTAGCGTGTGCTTTCTTTGCTTAGGTTGTATCTGTGGAGGGACCTGTCAGTGAGTCTCTCATTGCCACTCTCCATGTTTTCAGTAGAGGACTGCTTTTTCCTTTCTTTTTTTTCCTTTCCCCCCCCTTCTCGACTATCAGTTTTACATAGCAGCCTTACCAGTTAATGCTGCATTCAAATTGGCATTGAAAACCAAACCCCAGGCATTTTCGGGGTTGTTCTGAATGTGAGGGTCAGCCAAAGGAAAGCAGCGTGACCTGTCTTACTGGGTACTTGGGGTGCAGGGGAAGAAGGAGCAGTACTTGAAACTCAATTGCCAATGAAGCATTTCTTGCCGGGGGTCCTCTTCTCCTGTCCTCCCTTCTCATGGCACAAATTTCCCGCGCTGCGATTTCACCAAGAAGCACCAACAGCCCTTCTTCTCCCAGCGAAACTCAGGGCGAGGATTCTCCTTACAGTGTGGAAATGGCTAAAACTGTTGTGCCAGATATTTGGGGCTGCTCCTCCTTGTACCGTAGGCTTTGGTGGGTTTCTGGTAGGACTTTTGCAGTTTAGCTCTTTGCAGCCTAGTTTTCCCTCTTCTTCCTCAATTCGCATAGGCAGTGCGGCACTGCCTACCCTCCAGCTCCTCCCAACGGGTGGGAGAGTTGAGAAATCTTAGCAGTCCAGAGCAATGGCACATAGGTTTGGGGTGAGAACACTTGGTTTTAGGACGGCAGCAGAAAGCCTCATTTGGCCGCCTGCTTTGCAAACCCATGTGTGGTGTTGTGCTGGAAACCTTGGGGTTCCCAGCCTCTTCGTGCAGGAACGACAGCTCTTGTTTTCATGCATCGTTTTTTTAAGTGAACATTTATTATTCTCAGCTGACAGTTACGTGATGGCAGTTTTTAACAGCTCAACTTATATAACCCTCCTGGTTTTCTTTCTGCTCAGCAAAACAGAATTCTTCCATTTAGAGATGACAGACGAAGTAAATCAATTGAAGAGAGAGAAGAGGAGTATCAGAGAGTGAGGGAGAGAATATTTGCACAAGATGTGAGTAGTTGTTTTAATTGCCTCTTTAGTGCCATACCTTTGTCGGTAGTCAGACAGTCTTGCCCCGCTTCCGACACCAACACCGCAGCTGGACTTGCCCTGTGGAGCTGGAGGTGACAGGGAACGGGCGATTTGGCGCAGAGGGTCCGAGAGGAGCTTTAGAGGTGTGGAGGTTGGCTTCTGGAGAAAGGAGGTGATGAGAGTGACAGGGAGAAGGGTAGAGGAGAGGTCAGGCCCAGCATGTTGTCTGGGGAGCACTTTTCCTCTTTTCTTTGAATGTTCATGTTTGTGTGGTCTAGGCTTCCTTCCCCAGCCCCCTCTTTTCTCTTTTGCAGGGATTTAAATAGATACTCTCGATGATTTCAAATAGCTGTGCTATTTCACATTTGTTTTGAGCTGGATCTGATTTTTTAAGTGTCCTTCTGCAAAGCCCCTTCACGGTTTTGTTCCTGTGGATGAGTGCAGTAGCGCTAAGATGCTGAGACCAAAGAAAAGCCAGAGGTTAAACATGGAGTTGCACAGGTTTTTTGAAATGACTGATTAAAGAATTGTGTTTCTGCCCTCCAAAAGAGTTGGTCATATTTTTGATTCTGAAAGGAATAAAATGAAATAAGCATTATAATTCTTGCCTTTACCAAAAAATCAGAGCTTGCCCAACAAGCTGTGTTGCTAGAGGAAAACATCTAAATAGGAAACGTCTGTGAGCAATACCTCATATTCCTGACAAAGGAAGAAAATCATAATTTGCTATAATAATGTAATGACAACTCCTAAAAGGAAAAAAAGGGAAAAGTCAACATTTTACTCTTTTATCTCTCATCTCAGTGGGAGCTCTGCCACTCAGAGAGGTATGGAGGTAAACACAGTTAAAACTGTTGCTGAAAGTTATATTTGGCAATGTCCTTTTAAAAGAAAACTGTTCATATGTTGCAGGGCTAATAGTATTATTTTAGGTATCGTTTAATTTGGTTTGGTTTTGGAACTGCACACATCCAAGTTATTTTTCTTTAGCAGAATACATTGTATAGTTTTCTCACTTGTGATAAGGAATTTTGCTTTTTAGTAAGTAGCTTGCCACGTCTAAATGTTTTTAGCCTCACTTTCTCTTTCTAGACTGAAACAATTCCAGTAAAAGCAGAGGCTCTTCGGTTTACATTTTGCTTTAAGCCTGTGGGTCTGGTGTAAATACTATCACAGTATTTATGGTAGAGTTACTGAGTTGTTAAAAAAAACCCGACCCTCTTTGCAACCTGTTTCCTATATGAGAGTTGCTGTTTCTGGCTTATTACAAAGAAGCTTGTGCAAAACAAAAAAAAATCTTTGGGTTTTGAAGCAGATTTTGAGTGAGGCAAAACGTTGTTTAAAAAAAAATACCATATGGAAAGTTGTTGCCAACACAGTGCAGTTTCTATTACTTGCTCCACAAACGTGCTGCTGTTTTTGTCTTTAGATACCAGAGTTTTAAAGGCAGGCAAGCAGTTTTAATTGCCCACAGCAGGAACTCGTTGTGGTCCATTGAGTTAGGCAAGACCTGAGTGTCAGTGTGGTCTGTGGCAGGCGTTGGAAACAGATTGGGAGCGGGCATTTGTAAAGATCAGCAGTGTTAGGTATCTCTCCCTCTCTCTCTCATATCCACTCATTTGCTCTCTCTCTCTGCTATTGCAGGTGTTAGCAAGTATCGAAGCGCATTGAATTTTGGCAAGCTGTGCTGATAATATTGTTGGGAATGGGTGTCTTAGCTGAGCTTTTCCTGTTTTTTGAGTGGAGCACTCCTCACAGATAATGGGGTGTCTTTAGACTAGTGTGGTTGTGGAAAATGTCATTGGGGTTTTTTTCAGTTTTAGGAAGGAGAGCAATGGCTTCCTATTTTGGTGGAAGCCACTTAGTGCATGCAAGACTTCATAGTTTTAAAGCCCTCTGCAATCATTAATCCTGTTCTTCCCTGGTTTCTCTGCGGTAGGTACGTAAGCCTTGTCATTCTGCAAGATATGGATATAGAAAGAGAGAAAGGGCGGGATTAATCTTGTGGTATTTTTATTATCTCTCTACTGTTTACATTGCTATAGTCAAGCCTTTATCAGTGCCTTGCTTAAGAACCTTAGCAAATTGATTATAGATACTTTCTAATTAGAGTATGCATGAAGAGAGCTTGCATGAGAAGTCTCCAAAGGGCAGACATATGAAGGTCAAGCCATAATTTCTTGCACCTAGCCAGCCCCTCTCTAACAATGTTTGAGATACCCAAAATGCTTTGGGTAATATCTCAACCCAAGAGTCAGAAAAAAAATGTAGGAGGAAAAGACAATCTGGTTACAGGGGCAAAAAGCTATGTGCATGTTTCAGGTGCGGTGACGAATGTCTTAACCTGGATCCTGCGTACCAGCCAACAGAAAGCTCGTTTGTCCTTCCTTTGAGTTTGCAGCACCTCAGTGTGCCAGACATCTTTGTTTCCAAGTGGGAAGGTTTTAACAAAATAAATATGTTCATGACTATTACCATCATTCTGGTAGCCCTTAAAATAATTAGTCTGATATTAGGCTGTTTAAATTATATTTTCTGGCAAGTTTTCCATCTGCTGTGTTGGCTATCATAAATTTTGACAAGGGTAGCTGGAGGTTTTAACGACTCCTGTCGTTCATAGAGTCATAGCAAGTGGCAGAGATTGAGAAGCGTGTTAATGTGATATCTTAGTAAAAGGATTGGTGAAGAAAGAAGTAGTTAATAAATGTGATAGTTCAGTCTGACTGAAGTAAGAACTACAAAGTGCACCTCAAATTTTTCAGGCTGCTGGCAGTAAAACAGTACTGCATGTTACACTCAAAGCTATTTTCAAGTTTGTTTTTTGAATTGCAAAGGCTATAACCTTCCTATGCTATAACCTTCCTTTTAAAAATATGTTTTGGTTGGAAACTTAGTTTTAGAACAATTTGGGAATTTTACAACCAGGTGAACTGAAGCAGAAGACCTGGAGTATCTGGGTCTTCTGAAGAAATTTCTTGTCTGGACTGCTTTAGTTGCTTTTAGCAGGTTGAAAATTAATTGCCCAAGAAAGACAAAGAACAATCCAAAATACATTTTTTTTTTTTTAAAAGGTATACATTCTTTTCCTGTGTGTTAATTCAAATTGTAGATTTAATTGAGAATCCCAAATTGTGCGTAAACAGTATGCTATGATTGGCTTTTCAGCGTGCAGAAAATCCATTGTAAAGACTCCCAGGCAGATTATGTGGGGGAAACTTCATTCTTCAGGGTTACCACTACGTATAACCTCATGAGCCAGAATCACGCGAGGACCACCCGTTGTTCCTAAACATGTTTTAAGTAACCATTGTGTGTTCACTGAAAAATGTAGATGTTTTATTACTTACTAGAATTGCCCATGGAACTTATTAAAGGAAACACACCAGACGTTTTATTTTTCTGTTCCTAATTGTAATGACTATTTTTGAAGAGCCAGTATTCTGAAGAGCCAGATCCTTTTAGCTAAAATAAATCATGATTCTTCTACTTAAGAAAACACTGAGAATCTTTATCACTCTCTGTGAGTCACAAAAGAAGTATTTGAGAAAGTGGCCTCAGCCTGTCCTATCCTTCCAGTAGGTAAATATGAGGAAGAAGAGGCTTTGAAATTAATAAAAACAAAACCAAGACATGCCTCATGCTGGCTGCCATAAACCCACAGGTACTAAAACGGTTGCACAGAGCTTTTGTTTGTGGCTGCAGGTCAAGTAATAAGCATTAGCTGGAAGCCTGAGATCTATCACATCTTGTTAACTGATGGGGAAAATGATTACCTGATGGCATCCACTGCAGGATATTGCTGCATGTTAATAGTTATCTGCATCGGCTAATGTAATTAAAACCCAGAGCACCAACCCCCAGTGTACCTAGTGCAGTGGCAGAGCCTGATGCACGCTTTCCAGTTGAGACTTTAAAAGGTTCTGGGAAATTGGCAGAGTGAAGTACTTGTTCTGTAGCTGACAGTGAGTCATACTGAGCAGCCTCATGGAAGTCTTGCATGCAGAGGTTTCTGAGGTGGCACATTTGTAGGTGATCTTATATAACTCTCTTACCCTTTGTAGGTTTGTTGTCAGGGTCTTTGACAAATATACAAGAGCTAAGTGTTTTAAGAATGTTTTTTACAACAGCTGTACTGTGTGCTTAAGCTTTCCTCGTGCTTTAAATTGAGCATTATCGATGCTATAGATGGGGAAAGTAAAGTGAGTCCTGCCCTTGTATTAGCTAAATTGCTCTCCAGAGCTGCTTATCCATTTGATTCCTAACAGTAAGAATAACGTAATAAAAAAGGATCTGTCTTCTCTGCCTCTCAGGCTCACACCTGTACTGAAGAATAGTTTCCAGGGATTGTGTGGCCCTGTGCCAGCACGGCCATCCAGGAAGACACACAGTTATTACAGACTCTGTGTTTAAGTTTATAATGCAGTCAGTAGTGGTTCCCATCAAAACAGTGAAAAGGGAGTGAATCTCTCCACTCTCTTGATAAAATATAAATCCCAGAAATTACCTTACCAGGGCTAGATCCCTTCCTTGTGTAAATCCATGGAATAGCACTAGCTGTGGTGCCGAGGGAAGGTTTTGCCCGCTGGAGCACTGGGAGTGAGCAGGGCGTTGGCCAGCGCTCTTTGAGTAGATCATGAGCTCACCTCGTGCAAAACAGACACCCCAAATCCCCATGTACTAGAATCTGGCATTAGAATTGTCAGCATTAGAATCTGGCACAGGTAACGATGGCCTGTTGTTACAGAAGCAACGGGCATGATCTCTCGTGCCCTCCTCCCTTTGCCTGCCTTTTGTTTAAATTCAGTGCAAGTACTGATGATCCTTTCTTCTGCACCTCATGGAGATAGAATCCAGTGACAGCTACGAGATACTTAGTGTAGTGAACATGAAATAGGAGGGAAATGAAAAAAAAATCAAAGAGGGAGAATTATTCATGGGAAATTAAGCACAGCTTCATTTCTCTGTATAAAAAATTAAGTAATACTAAGAGAATCATACACTTGCCCATAGGATTTATTTCTTCCAAGCCCTTCACCTTTTCTTGGGATCCGAGTTCTCCAGCAGAGAACCATTTTGCAGTAGAGTGTCATTGTTGTTAAAATGACGTTAATCGCCTTAATAATCATATTATATCTCAACATGATTATGACTGTTGCCTTTCCAACTGTAAAGTGTGAAATCACACAGTACTTCTTAGTACTGCAGTATCTTCTCTCCCTTTGAAGAACTTTGTCAACTCTGCATGCTTTCCTCCTGTTTGTCCTTCCTACCTGCAGCTCTGTGTTTTTCTACAACCTTACTCTGAGGTGGTAGGGCAGACCAGTGGAACTGGTAGGAAAAAACATTTTTGCCCTTTGAATTGCCGGTACTTTGCACATACCGCCGTCTTTTGATCTCAGGGCCGAGAAGTTTCAGTTTGTTTCCAAACTGAGACACCCCCTCCTCTTCGTTGGCAATGTGTTGTAATGCATGGAATTTATTTTACTGGCCTGACCTTACTCTTGACCTTTTTTCCCCTCTTGTCTTCTGCAAATGCAAATTGATGCATGAATTGAAATCCCCTTAAGCCTGAATAGGGGAGGTAATTCTAAAATCAAGGAAGGAATTGGAACAGCAGAGCATATCTAGAACGTCTGATACAATGCCTTTTTTATTTTTCAGTCAGTTTGCTCCCAGGAAAACCTTTTTGTGGAAAACAGGTAAAAAATAGCTCTTTTTTTGTGTTAAACTTAGCTGTTTCTCTTATTATTTTGTCTATTTATAGTTCTGTAGTTGTTTATCCTAATGCAAAGACTGTTGAGCAAATTTGTAACCTGTATTATCTGCAGTATTTTTGTGCTTTAAAAGTGGGGGAAAAGAGATTGCCTTGCCATGTCATATCTGAGCAGATCCGGCTGCTCTCCTGAGACTTTGCGTTTTGGTTTAAAAAAGCAGATTGTGGGGAGGGAATGAGGGAGGAGCCCACCTTAAGCTTTTTTTTCAAATGACCAAGCTATCTCTGGAGTGCCTTTAGACTTTTAACTGGTCTTTAAAAGGCACTCTCACAGTGGCTGTTACTTTGCATTCCTGTGTGATAGTTCTTAGGGATGTTCTTTTTGTTGTAATACATCCACTTAGAGCAAAGGGAAGAAGAAACTGTGTTTAAGATCTACAAAATAGGAAATGTTAGCTCCATAGCGGCCATAAAATAACTTAACTCTATTGAAAATCTGAGACACTGTGCGACTTTATGGCAGTTAAGGATTTTAACCAGAACGCTGGGAATTTCACTGGTGAGCGTTTGAGCAGTGCTAGCCAAAGTCTGTCCTGTGTAGATTATAAAACTTTTATCGTCCCCTTGAAAAGGGGATGGTTACCTTTCAGAGTGTTTCTATCTTTGTCCATCCTTACATCTGTGAGATCCATTTAGGACTAAGGCTGTTCACATAGAAGAATCACTCCACAGTAATGCTACAAACCAGCTCTTCCGGTGGATAGTCCTGTAAGAGGAATGAGGGAAGGGCCTCAGGAGGTAATGGTCATCTAATCACCTTGGATTCTGAGAACCACGGATATGTCCTCAGCTGCTTCTTCTCTATCATGACCATGGAGATAGGTTTTATCAAAACAAATCAAGCAGGGGAACCTGTAAATCAAGGCAAAAAAGCTCCCATAAACCTTACTTTTCCCTCTCTGGAGAGATGGGGACAATAAACGTGGTATAGTTGTTCACGTTCCTGAGTCCCTGCGGAAAGCACTCAGGTGCCGTGCTGCTGAGCGAAGGGTGAGGACCTCGATGGGATCAACCATCAGGTTCATAGCCAGGCCCCTCTGTGGATTTATATGTTCAGTTCCACATGTACGTGCAGGAGAAAGTGGCCGGTTCCGGTGGTTATGCTTTGCTTGAACCCGTGAGCTGGCTGGAGTGAGGATGCATACACAAGAAGAGACCAGGAAAAGCCCAGTTTTGAAACTGGACTTCTGTTGCTGCCTGCACTTTTGTTGTCAGGAGGGAGACCTCAGCTGCGTTCCTCAGAACACTGCTTTTTCTTGCTGCGTGCCTTACAGCCTTTGGTCAGGTGAAGCACTTAAGCTCGTACCCAGCTCCGTGCACAGGAGCGATCATGTCGATGTGCTGTGTTGGAAGTTGGGTATGTGTTGAAGTGCTTTGCCTTTCTTTTTCATCAGAGAACCTGACCATTTCTCCGAGCTGCAGAGATTTCCAAGCAACTTAGCAAGTGCTTCAAATTATAAATGCAGTGTTTCTGCCAGCCTGCATTTTGGGTGTTCTTATATAGGTGATGTTTTCTGAATTTTCTTTTGGTATGGATGTATGGTTCCTTGGCTTCTGAGAATTGCCTTACTCAGTAACAGGAAACGTTAAATGTCCTTCAGCCTCCCTGGCTGACATTTCTTATGTTCAGTTGACTGCGCACAGTCATGGGAGAGGGAGGAGGGGCAACTTCAGCCTTGTATTTTTTTGAACTATAGATCTAGCGCAAGTCGGAAGGTGTTGCTAGTAATTAATTACAGCTTTACAGATTGGATAAATTTGAATTGCCATGTCTGTTACCGTAATCTTTCTTTTCATTTTCCAGTAGGCTGTTGGAAGACAGTGGTATATGCAATGATACACATAAGAAAAGGCAGCTGTTTAGGTTTGTATGACTTTATTTAATATTCATTTCCCAGTAACTCTCACTTGTGAATCTGTCAGTGTCCTTACCGAGGAAAACCTTGATGGGTATGGGTATGTGATTTTTCTGGTTGGAAAAGGATCATGGAGAAGAGAGTTCTTACCTGGGTCGTGCCACACTCTCTGAATGGGGAGGTCACAGTGGTACCCTTTCCTTTGGTTTTATGGATCATTGGCTCAGGAACCGTACAAGATTTTCAGTTGCCCAGCTGCTCAGACTGGTGGAAGTTTGTTTTGTTCTGATATACACAGCAGGCATATTTCACAGGCTAGTACCCAGACTGACCTTTTTTCTTTTTGTTAGTTTATTAAAAGCTAAAGTAAAAGTATGGTGAGATAAAGCTGATTGAAGTTCCCTTACCTAAAGCAGCAATATTTTGAAACTTTTTCTCTGTGAACTTTGTCTTCCAAACCACAATCCCCTCTGCCCAGAGAACATTCAGATGTATCTAGTATCTCAAATTGTGTCTCAGGCCACAGGGAATCAGTAAGGAGTCAGTCCATATTTTAATGGAGAACTTTCTTTTTAATCAGTTGACACACTGGATCAGTGGAAGACCCAGACTGGGTGGGATCCCACTTGGACAGTCTTCCTCTGACAGGCTCAGAATGACTCTGTCCACACGGTGAGCTCCCACAGCTCCAGTTCGAATAAACCAGAGTTGAGGATGCCCCGCTGCTTTTAAGGTCAATCAGCTCTCACAACTCTTAAGCAGAGCAGGCAGAAGTAATGGGTGCTTTCAGAGGCATGTCCTGCAACCAGTAAGGCACAGGAGTAGCTAGGCAGAAGCAGGGTGATCACTAAATGTCTGTATGCACTGAGCTTTGCATGTGTAGCTGTGACAGTTCGTGTCACTTCAAACCTGTTGTGAAGAGAAAAGGCTGTGGGATTCTTTGACATGTGGTTGCTGACCTGTCTGTGTCGGTGCAGCAGCCGTGGAGGGGATGGCGAGACTGCACCAGATAAGGAGCAGTGCCAGAGCATCTGGAGCTGCATCCCATGGCCACAGGCAGAAAAACCTTTTCTCCACACTTTGGGCTAGCCTTGATGATGTGAGATTCTTGGATTGGACAGGCAGGAGTAGGGAGACATCTTTCACACAGGCACTCCTAACAGTTTGGGGAAGAATAAGAAAGTTTTTGTAACTCAAACCCACAGATAACTGGGGTACCAAAGCATTCTGTTTCTCTCCCTCTTTTCTGCTAGAATATAAATGTAAGAGAATTGTTAATTTCTAAGCACAAGAATGCAAAAGAATCTGTAAATAATACAATTTTCTTTCTTTCTTTCCAATTCAATCTTAAGGACATTTTATTTTTAAATTTTTTTATTTTTATTTTTATGTTGTTACTTCTGTGCTGTTTCTCTTCATGCTTTCCCCCTGTCTGGGTCTAGCAAAGGTCAACAGGTTAATACTGCTGATCACATCTGTGAGAGGCTCTGATCACAGGCAAGGAACGCACCAGCCTGATCCCGTCTCTGATACGCTGCTCCTTCCTTCCCCAGTGACACAGCTCAGCAGGTTCTCCAGATAAAAAGCAGGAGCCATGTTCACTGCGACAAAGGGGACAAATAAAAAATAAATAAAATGTAAAAAAAAAAAAGAGGGGGATGGAAAATGTCTTCTAAAAGCCTTCCAAAAGTCAGTGTTACTAGCATCACTTGGGATAGCGCTCACAGTGCACTAAGCTGTAGTAGGTGGTGGTTTTGTCATTTTAGCAGGTGACGGTAAATAAGCCAAATTCTCCTCCGGATTCTGCTCACAGCTAAGTGTGTTGTTACTCACTGACGCTCTGCAACTGTTCGAGGACAGGAAGCCTCTACCCCGAGATTTTTGCAATTAGTGTATGGAGCGGGGCAAAAAAACCCCAAACAACCCCATCTGGCGGGTCTCCATGTGGAGCGTTAGCACTGAAGAGTTTGGATTCACACCAGGAGGACACATGTCCAAGGGAAGGCTTTGGCTGACTTTACAGAGCAGGTGATGAGTGGGGACAAGGTGTGATAGAAATCGAGAGGATGGATGTGAAGGCAAAGGTAGAGGGCAGGTGAAGTTAGCGAGAAAAACATTACAGGTGATGGACAGCAAAGGGAGAAGTAGCGAAGGGTTTGCTGAGGGAAGAGACCGGTCAACAGGCAACAGAAATGCTCCGTCAGTGCTGCGTAATAGTGCTACGTCAGCCCCGTCCGGTGAAGTCCTCTTAGGAAATATGCGAAAGGGGAGCGGTGGTAAGTGCTGTGCATGTCAAAGGCTGTAGCAGTGTCTACTTGCTGAAGGCAGATGAGTATGGGGGTCAAATCCCCTGTTTCAGGCATGCTTTTGTAAATGCAGAGTATCTCTTTTTTTTTTTTTTACTTTATTGGGCTCGCTGCAGGGTACCCAAAGCTAGACTCTGCCCTGACATGGTTTTGTTTGGGTATAAATCTCTGTTTCCTGATGTCCGTAGGGGTAACAGAGACAGCTTGGGGAAGACATCTGGCAGTCGGCAGAGCAGCACGGAGAACGAATTGAAGTGGGCAGATCACCAGAGGCCGTGGAGCAGCACAGACTCGGACAGCTCAAATCGGAATTTGAAGCCAGCCATAACAAAGACAGCCAGTTTTGGTGGGATAACTGTTCTCACAAGAGGAGATAGCTCATCAAGTAACAGAAGTACCGGCAAACTGTCTAAAACAGGTAGCTAGTACTGTATTGGGTTCACAGTACTTGTTGTTGTGTGGTGGTAAATGACTGTCCTGGTATCGGCCTTGAATATGATACATCACGGAATGGTCTGTTGTTTGGGAGGGACCTTCAGGAATCATCTAGTCCAACTCCCGTGGTTGGTAAATTACATGAAGAGGTATATTTCCTGGGTGTAATAAATGTGTATGTGCATCTGTGTGGGATGGTATCTGGGTACCAGATACTGAGTTTTTAGGAGTCAATAAGAAAACCTGGTGCCTGAAGTTTGCAATCATCGGTGAGGTAGGAAATTCCTGGAGCAGAATATGTGCATGTCGTATTCGAACACTGTGCTTGTTGTAGCCTGCAAAGGTGGTACTCCTTCCAGACAAAGCACAGGTTTTGCCTTGTTATTCATCATAGTCTTTCTGAACCATGAAGGATTAAATGTCATTTATCTGATGAGAAATCCAAGAACATTTTGTTGTCGTTGCTAAAATGAGAACCGTCTGCATCTCGGAGTACAGCCTCTCCCTCACTGCTGGCAGATGAGCAGCATGCTGTGGCGGAAGCAGGGGAAAGCGCTGGATTCACAGAGGTCCCACAGTCTCTCCATTTTCTTGTTTATTTTCCATTAAATGAAAGCACTGTTTAAGGAGACTATGATATACAATTGCTCATCAGTCTCATCAGCAACTTTGGTGCCAATCTAAAAGTTTTCAAGCGAGAAACCGCCTGGTGGGAATTCTGCATTTATCTGCATTAACTTCACAGGTACATTAACAGATGAGTGAGTCACAGGGTCTGGATCTTAAGTAATTTCAAGCCGAGATATTAAGCGACTCTGTTATATTTTCATGTAAAAATGCATAAGAAATAATGATTTCATCAGTTTGGTTCATTTGATAAATGTAGGACCGGGCAAGTGGTAATCAATACTTAGCACTTAGTGCTTTTTCAGCTTGTGAGTGTTTTATGAATGGTACTTAATTTAAATCCAGTTTATCAAGCCTAGGTTGCTCAGGTTTCACTCCTATTCCCAAAATTGTACGATAGCTTTAGCTGACTGGGCCTGGTCATCTGATTGTCCTGAATGTGCTGCATGATGGCACTCGATGATCTGCTCCACAACCTTCCCCAGCCCTTGTTGTAGACAGATATCACATCTGTTAACCTCCAATCCTCTAGGACCTACCAGGCTCCTGGCAGCCCTCTCAGCCCTACATGAAGTTCTGCCAGTTTGGGACACCCCCTCACCATGCCTTCGTCATGTTTCGCAGCTGTAAAGGAACCCGTCTGGGTGGAAACCTACTCTTCAAACCTTGCTGGTTGTAAAACTGCTGGGAGCTTTTGGAATATCCGGCCTCTTCTTAACGCTTCTATTTTATGTTTCTTTTGAGACCCTTGACAAATACTGAGTTTATTATCTTAGGATTTGTAGAGTATCTCAAGTTGGAAGGGATTCATAAGGGCCCCTTCTTAAAATTCTCCTTCAGTTTTACTTCATACTTAGGTATGTGAAATCCTATGAAATTAAGACATAAATCTAACTTTGAAAATTAGTACAGCATAGTTGCTTACCTCTGGCTTGTTCTTGAGCGTATGCAACACAGCAAAACCAGTGTGTATTTAGTTTTGAAACTATACTCTCCAGTATTTTTAACTCATATAAAGGCTGAATCAGGCGATAGAGGGGCACCTGAAGTACGCAGTAGACTACGTTTTTACTTCCACATTTCTTTGCTTACTGCAAATTTTTCCATTGCGTCCAAAATCAATTTGATACGAATGAATTGGGGAGGAGGTATGCGTTTTTCATCATATCTTTTGCCTTCAGTAGAGTGCAGAGAAATGTATTCTTCTGCAGAGTTGCATTGCAGAGGCAGAGAGCATCTGAAATGGTATCAGGGAAATCCAGTTTGGAGGGTTGAGACATCTAATTGCAGAAGACTCATACATTTTAGTAGCCGTTTTAGTATTAAAATCAAGCATATTCCAGAGTGCACTTAGAAGATTTATTAATGGAGAAGTCTTTGAAGCATGCCAATGCTTGTAAATGTATCTGTGCGCTGTATGCACCAAACCCGAAATTGCTTTCAAATGAAAGCACTTGTCACACATTTTTTTTATGAAAATCCCATGTTCTTTGTAGAGCAATTATATATTGTAAGTACTTTTGCTTCTTTTAAGCAAAGTGTTCAGATTGAAACCTAGTTGAGGCACAGAAAGAATAAAAAAACCCCAACAATAAACAAACAAAACAAAAAAACCCTACAACAAAATAAAAGCAAGGAGTGGGGAAAAAGAGCAAGGCTGGATGTCAAAACAAACTTAAATCTTCAAAGCCAGGACACAAAGTCAAGCTGTCAGTCAGCCTGAGGAAAGTCATAGGAAATAATATCCAAATCACTTACTTCCATCCTTCTCTCTAAAATGTTATTGGATGACATTAAAGAAGAAAAGAATGACTGTTCAAAAAATAATGGGGGAAAAAGATCTTGATAGTCTTCTCCCTTCACCAAAAAATGCTGAAGGCATTCATAGAGCTGTCAGAACCCTCACCTGCTGTTTCGCCTATCTTTTTTAAGCTACGTTAGGTAAAAAGGGACACTTCATTGCGCACGTTTGCAGGAGAACTTGATTCCTCAGTGCTCCAGTCGTAGGCAGTGCTGGGTGTCCCATAGCCCCAGTACACGTTTAAAGCTTCATCATACTTTTAATTTGGGGGATTTTGTTTATTTTCTATTGTTGTTACTACAATGATTGAAGCCCTTAATGGATCAAAATGTTCTTCGTTGGCTAAATGATAGAAAATGCATGTGACCATTTCAAATGTGAGAATTATTCTGTGTGTATGACGGTCATCCAAAAGTGTTGTCAAACACCCCTATGGGAATATTATCGAATATTACAACTTCAAGGATTTTCACAGATGGCTCAGAGCTGCCTTCAGGTGCTATATTAGCATTGTAGTCTTTCTGGATCATTTTTAATATTGCCACCAAAATTAAATGGTTTGCTCTTAACCTTAACTTCTGATAAATCAGTAATTAACATCACATAGAAGGCAAACAAAGTGAAGCACGAAAGGGTGTTGCTCTCCCCTTAGGCAAAGACATTCACAGGACGTGCTGTTCTCAGCAGTCAAGTCCAGTAGTGTCAGTTAGTCTTAAGACTTTTAATTGCATTCAGCTGCACAGGAATTAGAGTTTAACAATGGAATTACGTTACTTCATTCTTGCAAACTTCATAAAAGTGACTGTTTAAAACCCATTACGTGATTATCTTCTCTGTTCTGATGGTTATTTTCAGGCACCTGTTGGTTTTTTAGAAAACCCTGATCCACTGACAAGCACAGATTGTATATTGCAAATCAGATTTTCTTCTGTGTTATTCTGAAGCTTAGCCAGATATACGGAGAGAGTTGTGTTATATAAGCTATAATTCAGTACTGACTGGGGAGTTGCAAACTGACTGTCATTTGTTAAATTAACATCTCTACAAATTAGGGCATCTTACAAACTGCTGGTTAGTTTAGATTTCCAGTAACATACCGGCCTTCCTTCTAAGCATGTGGAGTGGTAAGTGAAAGAGATGGTATCAAAGATGTACCTGTTCAGTCTCTAACACACCCACGAAGAGAACATCTCGCTCGTCGTTGTTTTTGCTGACACATTACAACAGGTTTTAATATACATTGTTAGCAGGGCAAGCAAGATACGTTTCAAAGAAATGTCCTTTGTGTATCTATTCGTCTATTTAAACAATTGTCATGGGGCTTAAACTGTTTAACTCTTGCATCTTTAGCTTTCCTTTTAGCTTCCCTTAATGCGTTTTCCATTCGGTGGAATGCACATCTGTTGGAGTGTATGTCTTTCCCCCTCATTTATGAAGAGCTGGCTGCACTGGGGTGTCAGCTGTGTTGATACAGATCTGTAAAGGATCATTAACTTTCTTGGCAGGGCTCCAAGTAATTGGAAACACAGCCTGACCTCTCCTGTGAGGTGTTCCTTGCTTCTTCTTTTGGGGAAAGGTGGTTATATGGCAGACATTTAAATACATTAACCTTTTTTATTATTACTTTTTATATAAAATGTCCTGTAAATTGTAATTTTGTCTCTCGAGTTTTGGGACTGGATTTCTGCTTCTGTATGGTATCCTTTAATATTGGGCAATTAGCCTGATGGATCTTGTGACTCCAAGAGAAACTGCAGGAGTGTTGATGTACGGGCAATAAATCATGAGCCAACTGCTTCCAGGTATACCCTTCCAACCAACCAACTGTGCTGAAACATCAATCTTCTCTGCAAGCTGTGCTTCTAAAAATAAATAATCATGTTCAAATCAGCGCATACCTTTATCATAAAAAAAAATCTTAAATACATTGTAATGTACAGAAATGCAAATGACTTAGAAAAGCAGCAAATAGATATTCCTATACCAAGAAACTGTATCCAAGACCAGAATACTTCTTGCTGTTCCTAAAAACTGTCTGGAGCAAATAGGGGGTAGATCTTGAGAATCCAGTTGGTAAGAAAAATTTACCTCAGGCACAGAAGGTGCGATAAGGAGAGATGTTCAAAGTCATCAGATACTGAATGCTGACCCAAGGAAAAGAGAGGAAGTCTTGCATCGCTCACTAGCACTCCAAATATTGGAAAATTAATGGTGCCTCCACGTTTTTTCTCTGCAAATGTTCTAATCTTAAATGTTATGTCTTCTCAGACTACTTGATAACTACATTAATGGAAAGTGATGAGAATATGAAGGTTATTATTATGTCAGCTGTGGAGCAGCAAGAAAATTATAGAAGAATCTAGGAGAACTAGCCATCATTACATACTGGGAAAAAAAAAAGAAGCTGGATTGTGTAATGGGGGCAAAATTCTCATTTAGTCAAAGTTCTATTCAGAAGTCTTTAGCAAGACATCTCTTAATGTGAATCTGAATAAAGACAGATAGTTCATTTTTATTTCATTTGCTACAGTGCAGAATTCATTATGTGGTATTTTTTTTATTCCAGATTCAGGCAGTGTGAAAACAGCTAATCAGAGCTACAAAGACAAGATTAATTAGTATTAATTTCCAAACATTATTGTTGGAATTTACTTGCTTTAATTTGTCTAGACTCAAAGTGATAGGAAATCAGTTGTAGTGATGGAAAAAAAATAAAATGGGTCATTCTTTTACAAGATAAGGGGGGGGCAAAATTGGTAGAAAAGAGTAGAAATTTCTGGGGATTTTTTTCTTTTTAATAATCAGAAAATTGTTGAAATGGTTTTCTGTCTTGTTTGCATTATTTCAAAATCACCAACTTGTTCTACTGACACAGGAGAGAGGATCTGGGGTCTTTTAAGGCAGACTTTTTCAAAATTACCGTCTTGGCAGGGGATTGTAGCTCCAGAAGTTTATCCACGGCTTCTGCTGACCTTTTGACGAGTGGATCTGAATTCATTGCAGTCCTTGGGCTTTTAACATGCAGAAGAAGCTGCCAAAGATCAGTTGGTGATTCTGCCATAAAAACAGCTGGAAAGAGGGAAAAGGGGGAAAAAAAAAAACACAACACAACTCGATGGCCAGAGCTGCAATCTTCTTTTTACGCTAGCGGCATTTCTACAGAATAGCACAAAGTGAGGAGGGATAAGCCTGAACCTCAGGCTTGATACTACTTGCATGTTTAGAAATAACGGGAGGCTTATGAAATCTCATCACAGCTCCTGCATCTCCAGGGAGCTTTCTAGCCTGTTGAATTCAACAGGTGGTGAAAAGGAGGAGAAAGTAAAGCAAGACCTCAAAGAAGCAACACCAAGTGCGTGTAGAAGAGAAGGATCTGGTAACTGCTGTAGAAGGAATATTAAACTCCAGCAGTTGTATTTAAATTTGTGAGGAAGGTGCCAAATGCTGCTTATAGCTTGGTGGGGATCACCTCTAGGAATATCTCTTGCAGTTTGTAAAAACATGAAATCTAACTGATCCAATAAATACGAGTGTCCCTACAGGTGTAATCTTTCTAAATTTCAAACCTCAAGTCTACAAGGAGGGGAAAAAATACAGCAGCTAATGCAGCTTTGAAGTATATTTGTCATCATGTCCTCCTTCAAGGAAGCCTCCTTCTCAAGAGATTTTTGTCATTTTTAGGTGAAGCAGATGGGAATCTGATTAAGTAAAATCTCTCAAGTTTGGAAGTTGTGTTTGGCTTTTAAAATAATGCATCTCCCCATCCTTCCAAGTGCATTGGATTTATCTTGATGTGTCAATTTTAATAGACTAGGTGCTGAGTAAACAGAGTGGCAGAAGTCTTAGGTAGCATTTTAAATAGCTTTAACTTAATACACATATGGGACAGCTGTCTTGCCACTTGACTGACAACCCAGTTGCTGGGGTTTTTGTGTTTTTCTTGCAGAAAACGTTTGGTGGGGTTTTGTGCTGTGTGATGGTTGGTTGTTTTTTTACTTTTTCACTTACAGACTCCATTTTCAAGTTTGTATACCTTACTCACCAATACTTCGGCATTATAAATACACATTGAGAGTTTTTTGTTCCGTTGATAGAGCTATTTACTGGTTGCGGGGGGAGGCAGATGACGTGGGAGGGAAGTGGTCTTTTGAATTTCAGAAACGCCACTGGATACCAAGCTCAGTAGGGAGTGAAATCCACATTTTTACCAGTTAGGCATGGAGTAGTGCTTGCATCTGAGTCCGATGGGGACTGGGGACCCCAGTAACCCCCTCGCTGTGGTTGTGTCTCTCCCTTAGGCTCAGAGTCTTCCAGCAGTGCTGGCTCCTCAGGATCACTGTCACGAATACATCAGCCTCTCCAAAGCGCATCTCTTGTCCCCGGAGTGACGGCCAGCTCTTCAGGCAATGTGTCCTACCCGGAGAATGGGATGAGTGGCCAGGTGGCCCCCAGCAACACCAGCTATATCATTCTTCCACTTGAAGCTGCAGGGATACCACCTGGCAGCATCCTTCTCAACCCGCACACAGGTCAGTACCATGCTCTCCTGCCTGGCGCAGTGTGTCTAATATCATCCAGGGAATCGGCAAATTTCTTGTTTCTAGAGATATTTTTTCCTCACTTGATGAGGAAGCAAGTAGCAAGTATATGTCGCAGTGACATTTGGCACGTTGTTTATTCAAATCTGCAGGCAGAGGTGGATTGGCTTTCTGAGGCTGTCGTGGTGTTGCCAGTGGGAAGCAATAAAAAACCCCACGCACTCCCAGGTGGAATATTCCTCTTGTAAAGTCCTGGCACTCGTTGGCTGTGAGTCCTCTGAAGTCCCATTGGCTGCAGTCAGGATGGATACTCTTCCGCGTGGAGCACGCTGAGATATGGTGGCAACTGAAGTACAATGTTCAGGGATTGTGCTTAACAGCACAATTTCAAAAGGCTGCATTTTAACCAGCCACTCAGAGTTCATTTCACTACGCAGCAACAGGAAGTTTTGTGATAGGAAAAAGCTGAAATCTTGTCAATTCCTGATAGTTAGCAGTGTTGTTTCATGCGGACAAGGCACTCGCGGTCATCCAAGCAAAGAAAACGCTTCAGAAACCTCTGAGCTTGAACTTGAGAGCTTGCTGGAAGTTTAAGGCAATTTGTTACCTCCTTGGTCCAGATGAAATCCAGATCACGTTAGGCCATTACTCCCCACAGTATTGTTCTGACAGTATTAACAAGGTTCAGGGAAGTTGACACTGTGATGCTTCCTCAGTAATTTGGAGTATTTCAGTGCCCATGACTAGCTGTGCTGTCAGCCTTAGCTGAGTTATCCTGGGTTTAAAATAACAAAGCCTGCACTGAAATGTGTTTTCCGTTGTACTGCAAGCTGAGAGTTGAACTCTGGAATGTTTTTTCAGTGTCCTTAATTGAGCCTTCAGGAGCTTTTCATTTGGGGATTTTTGTTTTAAACCAATATTTGATGTATATTTGCACCTCTCTATTCCAGTATTTTGGTGCAAATGCATAAAACTTGTTTGCAGGTCCACTGCTAAAAATGCTTGGGTTTGGTCAGAATTCAGGCAAGAGAAAATGAAAGTTACAGCATTCAAGAAAAACACGGCCTTGACAAACTGTTAAACGAGGCTTTCCACAGATATTTAGAGATAGTATTATCTGGGACTGATTAATATATAAGCATATATAAAATCAGGGAGAGTTCTTGTTTATTTACGTTCAAATGTGCTGAGTTCTTCCCAGAGAGGTGACTTAGTAACTTGCATAAACTTGTACTTCTGCAAAGCCTTTATTAGTTATATGTACTTTTTTCAAGCTGTTATATTATTGACGTGAGAGCCTAATACTGTCAGCGTAAGAGAGTGTTTGAGGCATCTCTTAAAAGCTCTATTAGAGGAGAGAGTGGAATGGGAGGCAAACATGTAAGACAGACCCCATAATTTCTAAGTTTTTCATTTTTTGTTGTTCTGGTAGTTCACAGTTCTGTCTGTAACGCTGGAATTTCTTAGTCAATGCAGAAGGCGGCATTTTGCACGCTTTGTGGGCCACTTCCGCACAAAACTCATCAGGCCCTGGCAGAAGTCATCCATAATTCAGGTGACAGGACTTGAGAGAAACGCATGAAAGGGATCGCTGCCCCTTTGAGCCCACCATCAGCTGAGAGGTTGTGCTCGTCCCTGGCCATGGGCAGGATGGAGCGTGCAGCTCACCACACTTGCAAGCCAGAAGAGCTGTTTAAGAGGAACATCTCCTACATCTGTTTTGTCGATTCAGGAATTTGCAGCAGCGAGCTCGTATTTTTCCCTGTTAACTGGGGAGTCTTTTTCTGCTGTAGGTATAATGCTTTTCACTACTGTCACTAGACCAGAGCACCTCGTTTTCTCTCCTAGCACGCTTCACTGTCTGCAGAGACATCATCACGAGCTCCATGCCGTGTTAGTGTGTTTAATATTCAGGAGGCAAGTGTTTTTGTGTATATGTAATTCTGCGTATCTTTCAAACCTGATGTTTAATTTCTGTAGCTCCCTTGTAAATCCATACATACTAAAGAAAATGGAGGGAGCAGGTTGTTTTGAAGGCTGAAAAGCTTGTCGCAGGTGGATAGCTTCATGCTGCTACCTGTGCTGGAATTCAGGTTATACTGCAGCATCTGCCGTGTTTTTTAACATGCAGCAAAATACCTGCTGCAAATTTGTCACCTTCTGGGCTCCGAATCTTTGCATCTTATTAGGGTAGCATTACAAAAGAAGCTCCCTAGGGAGGAGACTTGGATTGCTGGATGCCGTGTTCGACTGTCAGAGTGATGGATGCTGTCAGAAATGTAGATGAAGAGAAGACAGTTTAGAGAAAAGGAAAAAAGGGGCTTTGTTTCCTATAATGAATAGCTTTTTTTTCTCACACATTCTTCTCTTGCAGAGTGGCTACTTCCAGTCTTTTCCTCTCTTTTGATCACAGCACCATATCATTTAAAGATCTTTGCTTCCTTTCACACCACGTAGGCACTGTCTGTGCAAGCCTCTGATGGCATCTACAGATGCTGTTGGTATCTCCGTGCTCTGGTTATGCCTCTCAGGTGTTGACAAACCACACTTTCGTTTCCAGAGCTGCAGTTTCCTTTGTTTCTTCTGCTTTACCCTTCTCCTTCACCCTTCTCCTTCCTCAGACAGAGAACCTTGCTTTGGGGAAGGACCGTTTATGTGGCTCTGCTTTTTAACTCTCCATTTCACCAGTCTGCTTTACCCTTTAAAGGTTTCCTTCTTGACACATTCTATGACTTAACCCCTTTGACAATTTAAGAGCATTAAACTTTCATTCTTACTCCTTTCAATGACATCGCAATCTTTTGCCCTTCCATCACAGCAACAGTTCACAACGTTCAGATGTCTTCCCTGTTGCCATCTGTTCTCTCTTTTTCATTTCTTATTTCAAGATTTCTTCATGAAAGGTCTTCTGTTTTGGGGTGGGTTTTTTTCGTTTTTTAAAGCATTACTGGACCTTTTCTCAAAGTTCTGTCATCCTTCGCTGGGCTATGGAAAATGCTGTTTATGGTTTCAGGAGTCCAGAAAGTCTTAAGACTTTAGAGAGAGAAGGCAAGGTTTCTTTAGCCAGTGCTTCTCATCCATTTCTGACCATGATTGGTAAAAGGGAGGAACTGAAGGGCTGAGGAGTAGATAGAACATGTAGAGATGCTTGTCGTTCATTATTTAAATGTTGCTCTAGGTCACCAAATTTCTCCAGATCCCCTTTTTAGTCTCAGGTCTTCATACTTTAGTTACCTGCTTTAAATATTACCACTTCATTACTTAAATTCCTTTATTTCTCAGGGAAGCATCTGTAATTCCTTTGATTTCTGAATTTATGGTGAAAACAGACAGAGAACTCTGAGGTCATGGAAAACATTTTCCCTAGAGAGAAATAACATTTCTTTGGTTGGTTGTAAGACAGTGACCTGGATAAACTTTAATTATTTTTTTTAAACAAACATTACTTTTGCAAGGTTACTTCCTCCAGCTAAAATATATGAAGCAAAAAGAGTTCAGCAACTTAGTAGTGCTTTGCACAGAATTTGTTCTGTATATAAGAGATTTTTTCAAAGACTAAGTGTTTTTTCCTTAATAACTTCAGGTGCTGCTGCCTCTAATTACATAGGGCACAACTCTCAAAAGTGCAGCACTGTGTTATTACAGTGTGTAAATAAATTAGTAACAAGGGTGGAGTTATTTTTTCCTTTCCATATAAACTGCAATGTGTCAAGAGCAATTGAGTGGCAATAAAATGTGCACGAATGTAGCAGAATAATCTCTGTTTGCTCCAGAGTTCAATTTTAGTATTAGTTAATTCATCATTGAATGACTTCAAGTAACCATAGCAGCTGAATCATCTTATAGCCATGGTAACCTTCCAGCCATTCTTCGGAAAGTCATACTGATAAAACAAATATCTGCTGTCTACCTTGCGTGCAAAAAACCGTGAAGTTTTATGATTTTGCACAGAAACCGATACATTCTTTAAAGTGCTTAGCAAAGACAGGGTGTTTTCTTTCAGGCCAACCGTTTGTAAATCCTGATGGGACACCGGCAATATACAATCCTCCCAGTGGCCAGCAGACGATGAGGAGCCAGATGGTGGGACAGTCTCAGCAGCAGCCTTCATCCCAGCAGCCTCAGCAGGTCCAACAGCCACAGCAGCAAATGGCAAGTCACCTTGTCACGCAGGTAGGTGTGGTGGCCCTTGGGAAAAAGAGAAGATCATCTCGGGTCCAAAGGGTGGGAGGGAAAGATGCAGCTAGGCAAAAAATATCAGGATGGTCTTTTCTTTGGAGACAAAGGGGGCCCAAGGTCTGTATTTTCAGTGGGTGAAACAGGTGGAGAGGGAAGATTCCATCTGAAGGATGTTTTCATTTTGAAAAAGACTGTTAGATGAGCTGGTATATGCCTGCATAAATTTATTTTGCAGAAATTGCCCAAAAGTGAAAGCTGAAACATTCATTTTCAAAGTAGTGCAGTCTCCAAAAAGTCGGGGACCTTTCTCTGTCCCTTTGGGCACTGGTGGGGTTGAGCCAGGTACAGCACTCTACAAACTCTTCCATGTCCAGTTATATCTGGCCCGATCCATGGGTAGCCAGCTCTCCATGCCTAGACCATGGACCTTCTCCTCTAACCTTTGTAAGACTCAAGTTAAATGAGAAATTAAAATGAAAGGCTTAGTAAAGCTATTTCAAAGTAATAGTGCTGTAGAAAATTGTTCTTTCACTCAAATAAACATCTACTCTAAGCTGGTGGGGCCTGTCTGGTGATAATTCACAGCCTGTTCTTTGTCAAATTATTTTTTTTGTTAGCTATTGTATTCTCACAAAGCAACTTTACAGTCATTATTCTTTTGCGTATGACATACTCTGGTTAAATCAGTCATTATCAGCAAAATTCAAATATGCACTTACACTGCACTGCTCTTTAAAGTAAATGTAGACTCATAATTTGGCTTTGCCTCACATCACTAAGAAGGTGTAGCAGTGGCTTGATTTAATCTAACGGCCATCCAGTATATGAAAATAGGCAAGAAAAATCTGTAATAAAGACGTGTTTGGTGTAACGCAAAACTGAAAACTGAAATTGTGGTACCAGACCTCCTGTCCTTTGGCTGCTGATGCGTCACCTGCATTTTCAGGGCTCTGCTTGAGATCTTTGTTCTCGGTATCAGAGGGTGGTGGCCATGGTGGTTGTTTTCTGTTATCTCTCTCCGAGTAGGTTGTATTTATTGTCTTTCACTGTGTTTATTTTGCAGCCCGTTCAGGCAATGCAGCCATCTTCTCAGTCAGTCCAATATCCAGCAGTTTCTTATCCTCCCCAGCATCTCTTGCCAGTCTCTCCAACGCAGCAGTTTTCTGTGGTACTAAAATTTTTTATTTATTTTCTTGCCTTGAAGTCGGATATGTGAGCATGAGTATGCCCAAGAGCCTCTGGGGAGCACGCGAGGGATGTCCCACATGAGAGCACCATCTAAATCCCCGTTTGCTTTAATGCTTTTGGTACTGAAAAGCATTTTGAAACAGTGTTCCTGCTAGTTCTGATTATTTAACCTGGACGATGATGTTACGAGCAGGACTCTCTGGAGAAATATTTTGTTGTGCCAGTGACAGGGAGCTAGGGTCTTCCCACTTTCTGTTTAGGGAGCTTAAATTGCTAACCTGGGCATTCGAGATTTGGGTTATCCCCCTTTTACGTCCACAAACACTGGAGAGCAGACCTCTAGAAATCATGACTTTTAATTTTAGATTATTTTATCCTTGGACTAAGTCTGCTGCCTGGTTTTATTCCCTGATGATACCAGCTCACTTGGAGAACAGAGTAGCAGTGAACCAGCTGCGGAAAGTGCGGTACTCTCTGCATTAGGACAGAGCATCAATGGACACATACAGTAAAAATAAATAGAGTGCTCTTCTGGAGTCTGAATCTGGCTTGGTGCTTGCAGGGCTAAGATTATGTTCTTGTAAAATGATGCTGACATTTTAAGAGGCACTACACGATATTTTTGGGGTTTTTTTTTGCTCTTGCAGTCTTGTTTGTGATAGATTTTCTTCCCAAGGATCTTTTTGCAAGACTGAACAGAAACTGTCTAGAATCCATGTATCATTACCAGCATGTAATGAGACATAGGTCCATTGACTTTATTTGATACGTTCATCCTACCATAGGTTTATTTCTGCCCCTCCCCCCCACTCCCCTGTCAAACAAAGTACTTGTTTCATTCCAACACTGAAAAAGAAAAGCTGAAAATAGCAACTGAAGGCTTAGGGGTTTTTTTTGTTACCTGCTCTGAGTTTACAACTTTGGATTTTCAAAACAGTCCAAAAAGGGAAAGATCTGCACCTGAATCGTACTGGGATCCTCTTGGGATCTTTTTGAAACACAGGTGCAGTTACCAGCATGTGTTCAGCTGAGGAATTCTGTTTGGGGGAAGACGTATTCATAATGTTATTTTCATGTCTTTAAACAAACTTTTGAACACCGTGAAGTTCCCTTGTAATTTTGGAATGAGAGGGGAGGGCACAAGGTGAAAGCCCAAATAATTGGGGTTTTGTGCCAAGCGATGCCACTTACTTTGCAGTCTGGAAGTCATGGTCAAAGCATTTATAATGACTTTCATTTTAATTGCCTCCATTTATGTAGATACCCACACAAAGTTTGGCACATGGTGGACTGGAGCCATCCCTTCCACCCCACCACCTCGTGCTTCCAGTTGAACCTAATTTTCTTTTACTTGTTTGTGTGTCCACCCCAGCCCCCATCTTATGGCCTCAGGTTCCACTAGGGGAGGTTTACATTAGGAAAAGTTTCTTTACTGAAGGAGTGGTTGAGGCATTGGCACAGGCTGCTCAGGGAAGTAAGTGGTGGAGTCACCGTTCCTAGAGGCATTCAAAAAACGTGTAGACGTGGCATTTCAGGACATGGTTTAGTGGTCATGATAATGTTGGGTTGGTGGCTGGACTAGGTGATCTTAGAGGTCTTTTCCAACCTTAATGTTTCTATGATTCCATGTGTGTACATCGTTTTTCCTCTCTCTTTTCGCCCTGCAGCGGGATGACATGACGACACAGTTTAACCAGATGAGCTTAAGCCGCCAGTCATCAGGAGACAACCCCGAATCACCATCTGGTCCCGTCTACCCATCACCAATCTTGCCACAGCCTGCCCAGCAGCCGGGTTACCTGATGGCTTCCCCAAGTCAGCAGCTTCCCCCGGGGAGCTTCACGGGTTCGGGTCCACCAGTATCCCAGCAAGTGCTGCAGCCACCGCCGCCGCCCCAGGGCTTCGTCCAACAACCCCCACCGCCTGCTCAGGTAGGTAGAACCTTCCAGTCTGGTGTTCGTGCAACAGCCAAAAGAGAGTGTCTATTAAATCCATACTTTAGAATTTATTTTTAAGGGTTTTTTCCTCCCACCATAATAAAAACTTAGCAGATTTTTAGACAGTGGGAAGTTTGCAAAGCCCCTCTTGTTTCCTGGGTTTCAGCAACTCCTTCCTCTATGCTACCATTTTCTCTACATGTGTTCGTACTCCAGAACACATCTGCACATGAATATGAAGGAGGAGGGTGAGTGAATATCTGTAGTCCTTATTCCCCTGTATGTACACCAAAAGAGCAACATGTACCTCAGCCCAGGTAGTCATTAATCATATTTAATTGACTTGAACATGTGAGGTGTCACAGATCAGTAATTTTAACTGTCTTCCTGAAGACTGATTATGTTTTACTGTTCACTACCAAACATCTCTACTTGTCTCCTGGGTACCTTTACAGAATATTGAAAGTGATTACTGTCAAAAAGTAAAATGCACAGATGACTTTCTGGCCCATTTTCAAGGCGTACACTTTAAAAAGCGAAATTCCTTTATCCAGTTATAGATAACCTCATTTAAACTCTCCTTTAAAATGGTATTGATAGTATTTCTCTTGGTTTTATTTTATCCTGTGGAAGAAAATATATTTAAAAATAAAGTGAAAAAACTTCATTTCTTTTAATGTGAAAGCAGTGTAAACCCTTCTGGTTTTTTTGTTTGCCTCTTCTTACTGAAAATTTCCAATTGTGTTTGATAATGGAACTCTTTATTGCCACAGTAATGAAGGATTTGTACTGTTACAATGTTTTATGTGGAGTAGGAATCTAGTTAATTAGATCACTGATTAACAGTAGAAGAAATCTGAAGGCTACTAGTTGCTTTACATCCCATAGAGGACTGTGACATCCTTATTTAGAACCTGTACTGCCATTTTTCTGAGAGAAGGCTTACAAAAAATAATTTTTAAGGAGCCGGAGTTCAGTATAGTGCCATTTTTTTAAAAAAAAAAACAAAGTGAAAATATTTCACTGTTTGCCAAACATAGTATTTAAAAAAAACCACCCAGATTGGTAGGAAAAAATCAGACCTGAAGAGCAGAATCCCCTGACGACTCCATCTCCCCATGTAGACCGTGTCTTTTAAGTGAGTCCGGGCTTCTCCCCTTGTTTACAACCCCCTCCCCTTGGCATCCTCCGTCTTTTCAAACATCATTTAATCAGACCACACAACGCTTCTAGTGAAGCAGATGAATGTGAGCACCTCTGTTTTACAAGCTGTCAGGCAAAGTGATGCCCGCCAGGCTTTGCTGCAGGAGATTTATTTGGCTCTTTTTGCCTTGCCGTGACAGGGGACCCCACGCCCCCTCTTTTCCTCCCTCCTCAGATGACACCAGGTTTGCAGCCCACCACGGGGTCTCTGCTGGACACCACAGCACCTTCAGTTATTTCACTGGGGAATGGTTAGTCCTTGGGGGGTGTGGGGTGCAGAAAGGTTTAAAAATGTAAGAAGGAACAAGGAGGATGGTAATACGTGCAAAACATGACGCGTTGCATTCATCAGTGCAATCAATGTAAAAGCACTTTTATATCTTAAATGTTGCTGTTGAATTTATACTACTTAAAAGGGGCTTGACTCTAATGGCTAATTAGTTCCTGTAAATGCATTGCTGGTAGGGTTCTAGCAGGGTGTCTGGGGTGCCCTTGTGTGCTGTTGGAAAACTTGGATGGAGATCCTGTGACTGTGATCATTTCCTTTGGGAGCTGGAAGGAGGAGAAAGAAATGCTTTTCAGACCTACAAACCCGACGGCATTGTATTTAGATTATTAGCTTTTTTCTATTAAAGTTCAGTTAAATGTGGCTCTGCAGCTACTCTCCAGTATTCTCTCTCCCAGCCTCTATCGCAGCCAAAGCAGGTGGAATTTGCGATGATGTGCCCAAGAGATAGTGACAGGACCCCTTGCTTCCCTTTTACCGCTGCTTTCATCACAGCTGTTCCCCAGCTTGACAGCAGAGTTGTGATTTAATAACCTGAAAATAATGATCTGTCATTGTTTGGCCAACTGGAAAAAGGAAACCACACAAAACTACCCTCTCAACCATTAGTCTAGGTTTGCTGAAAGGGACTTCTAACAGCAAAAGCTTGTTTGTGTTTTGTATGACAAATAGCCAGCACACATCTTTACTTTATTTTCTTCTGTTTTCAAATTCCTTTTCTTTCATGGGTTTTATTTTATATAATGCTTAAGGCCCAGGTGCTTCAACAAGGGTCCTTACTCAGTGTTTGCAGCACTCTCTCAATGGTGCTTGTCCTTGCTCTGCCTCTGTAAATGAAGAAACGGGGGAAAACTGCAAGTACTAAGCCAGTGCGAAAGGATATGCTCCCATAAAAGTTATTCTCACCTTCACCTCATCCTTTCTGGAAGGTATACTGGCAAAACAAAGTCCAAAAATGACATGGCATAAATTTTCGGAGAGGCTTGAAGAAGTAATATATGTCGAGGGATTTTTCACCTGAATTAATTTTGCATCGTCACTGTTTTATTATTTTTTTTTAATTGATGTCATCATTAAACTTGGCTGTCTCTTTGCCGAAGCCTTAAAGAATCCATGGCCACCTCAAGACCAAACCTTTATTCATAGCATGTCTCCTCTGGGAAACTTGTTAGGAAGAAGGTTGAGGAGTTACTGCAAGTGAATGGGTCTGTCCTAAATGATCTCAGAAAGTGATATTGGAGTACTCCTACGTTTGTGATACACATGTTGTTGTAATTATTGGGGGAGTGGGGAGAGAAAAATCCTTGAAGGCTGACGGATGCCAGTCAGTTAGATGGGAAGAAATGGTACATCCACGTGTCCGTACATCACTGTGGTTTCTGTTGTCTTCATTCCCATTTGTGCAGCTGTAGCTCCCATTAGCAATAGAGTCAGCATCACTAATCATCTGGATGAGTAAACTGTGGCTATACCTTCCCACAAACAAGGAAGGTATTCATCTTCCAAATAAGAATATCCAAAGGGGTAAGGATCATCTGTCAACTATTTCCATGGGAGTTATTAAACAGAGGCGGATTTTTCACAGTGTCGTAGATTAACATCAAGAAGCTATGCTTTTAGACTGAAGAAGGCAGCATTTATTT